TTATATATTTATATATATTTATTTATAATTAATTATTATATATAAAATTTATCTATAATATATATTCGAATATATATAAAATAAATTAATTTTAACAATTTCATATACATATATTTTTTTTACAAATTTAATAAATTTTCTAAGCAATCAATATGTGCAATCTTAAAAAAAATCTTATATTTTTAAATGATTGTTAAATTTATAATACAAACCCTGTATTAATCATACTTCAAATATAAATTGAAGAATTATTATAAATCTAATAATTGTTATATTTATTTTAATCAAGTAACAATAATTAAATAAAAAATATCTAAACAAATAGTATTTATGCTTTAAATAATAATTTTGCTTAATATTCACTTCTTCGCTTAACAAATTAATATTATAATAATTCGTGAATTTAAATTATTATTACTTGTAAGATTATTATTTTAAACAATATGGCGTAAATTCAGCATAGAAAGATGAAGCATAGAAAGATATTCGAATTTAATGTATCTATGTTTACATTTTACTTTATAAATTTCATTTCTCTTTTAAATGCATGTATATTAAAATAAATAAATGCAAAAAAATTTTTGAAATATTTTAATGAAAATATTAAAATTATTTTATATGAATATTTAGATTCTATAAATTTCTTTTATATTATACATATATATGTATAATTATATTTAAATCAAATAAAAATAAAATATAAGTAAAATCTAAAATACATATTTGAAAAAATTTATGTTATGTAATTAATATAGTTACTTATTCAATAATTTTATCGCTATTCTATCGTTGATTACTGGTAATAATAATCATTGATTACTGGTAATAATAAGAAATTTAAAAAATGTTTTTTAACTAAAAAATGAAATTTTATGAGATATTATAACTTTATATTGTAAAATATTTATTAATTATTTATTTGTAACATAATTATAGATCGAGGTTATGTTTATATCGATATAACAATGTGCGGAATATTCTGTAACATTTCACAAAATCATGCAAAAATTTCACATGAGGTATTATTATAATGCATGAATATAAATTCTTATCAATTATTTATAAAATCAATTGTTTTTGTCTCAGTGGGAAGCTTGTAAAAATTTATTAAATGCTCGTGGTCCTGATAGAATAATTGAAAAAGCTGAAAATTTAACGCCCAATTGGTTTGGACACTTTGTTGCTTCTATATTATGGATGCAAGGTTCTAATTTGATTGAACAACCTGCCATAGATTGTAATGGTAATATTCTTCTTTGGAATGGAGATATATTTTTTGGAAACTTGGTAAATATTGTATAATTACTAATTATTATAATTATTTAATGTATTTGCATTGAATAACCATATTATTCATTTTAGGCTCAAGATAATACATGTGACACTAAGATATTACTAAATACTCTACAATTATCTTCAAATATATTATCTGTATTTAAAGAAATCCAAGGCCCATATAGTTTTATATATTTTCAGAAAACCAATAATCTCTTATATTTTGGAAGAGATATTATAGGAAGACACAGTTTACTTTTAAAAGTAAACACTGATGAAAATATTTTAACTTTGACATCTGTTGCCAGTAAACAAATAAATAAAATTATAGAGATTCCTGCAATTGGAATTTTTGTTATGAATTTAACTAATTTAAGAATAAATCTTGCATGTTATCCATGGAAAGAACCAGATTTGCGATTTACAGATATTATTGAGACATTAGAGACACATTTAGGTGTAGACATTGATATTAAAAAAACTATATTAAAATCAGATGGATTGACGTGTCTACATTTACATCCTCATATTAAAGATTTGGAATATTTAGAAAATAGTCCTCATTTAGAGAATTTTTGTAAAATATTAGAATATTTATTAAAAAATGAAGATATTCATAAAAGAGTTGAACATTTGTTGCAACTTCTTTACAAAGCTGTAGAAGTTAGAATAAAAAAACAGCCAAAATTTTGTAAAACATGTATTAAATTAGTTTTAAACAAAGAAAATATTATATGCAATCATTCAAAAATAGGTGTACTATTTTCTGGAGGTTTGGATTCTGCTATTTTAACATTAATTGCTGATAAATATATATCACAAAATGAACCTATTGATTTAATTAATGTTGCATTCGAAAAGTTAATTAATAAAAAATCTAACAATGGAAATAATGAAAAACAAGATATGGAGAACCAATATGATGTTCCTGATAGAAAAACTGGAAAACAAACATTTTTAGAACTTACAAAAATTTGCCCAAAACGAAAATGGAATTTTATAGAAGTATATATATATATAAAACAAAATATATTTTTATAAAAATTTTTTATGTATGAAAAATATTTCGATAATTAATGTAATAATACTTTTAGGTAAATATCAGCCAAGCAGAATTACAAAAGTATCGTTCATCGCATATTTGTAATTTATTATATCCATTATGTACTATATTGGATGAAAGTTTAGGTTGTGCTGTTTGGTTTGCAAGTCGCGCAAAAGGTATAATCCATTCGGGTACTGATATTTATGAATCCCCATGTAGAGTACTTCTCTTAGGTATGGGTGCAGATGAATTATTCGGTGGATATATGAGACACAGAACAATATTAAGACATAAAGGTTGGGATGCTTTAACTCAAGAATTAAATATTGAATTAGCTAGAATTTCTGAAAGAAATTTAGGTCGTGATGATCGTATTGTATCAGATCATGGAAGACAATCTAGATTACCATATTTAGATGAAAATATAGTGGAATATGTTCAAAAATTAAAACCTTGGGAAAGGTAAATTGATCAAATAATGATAAAAAATAAAAAAATAAAAAATAAAATTAAATTATTATTTAATTATAGGTGTTATCCAACAGATAAAATGCCATCAGGCTTAGGAGACAAATTACTTTTACGTTTGGTAGCATATAAACTTGGTTTCCGAAACACTGCTAATTTTCCTAAAAGAGCTTTCCAATTTGGATCTCGAATTGCTAATGGCAAGGAAAATGCTAAAGATATATCATATCGTTTATAAAATAATGGTACATATAATTTTATTTTAATATAATTAAATACAATTTTAAATAGCTATTTATATAAAATTATTTATGTTTTAGATATTACTTAACATGAAATGAATATTAAAAGATTTATATTCTAATATTATTAAAAGTGAAATTATTAATATATAATTATCATTGAATATTTGTATGAGTATCAAAAAATAGAACAAGAAAAACCAGGAGAACAAAAATACATGGGTAGGTTTTATGTGTTTTATTAGTTTATTATTATATGTTATCATCTCATAATGTTTTATTTCTAATTTTATATAAGAGATAATTAACAAATAATTATATAATTTTATCTAGATTTCTTTCTTATATATATATATATATATATTTATTTTTCAATTATATTTTTCTGAATTTAAAATTTACTATAAAATTATATGCATTTTTAATAAGTTTGATATTTTATGTTGATATTATGTGTTAGAACTTTTATATTTTTTATGTTTAAATTTAACATGCATTTGTATTTTATAAAAATATTTTTTTAATAAATTTTTTACACTTTTTTTTTAAAAAATACATAAATACGATTTTTTTAAAAAATAAAATATACCAATAATAAATTTTCTATTCAATATTTAATATATTCACTTTTTTATAAAAAATATCCTGTAATCATAGTAGAAAATTACTTCAATGATGAATTCTATATATGAAAACAATAAGAAAAGTTATAAACATATGACTTATTTATTTAATCATATTTTCGATTTATTATTTATTATAAATTTTATCTTAAAATAATTTTATTGAAAGATAGTAGTAATTGAATTAACTTCATCTATTTGTAAATAAAATTAAATGCGATAGCAAAATTTTAAACGAACTCTAGATCGAAATTTGTTTCAAAATTAATTCAAATAAATATTTCAGATTTTCAGTCTAACTAATTTTGGTTTAAAAATAATAAAAAAGAAAAAAATTAATTAAGAAAAAAATAATACGACGCGATTATGATATTAAACGTCATAAGTTTCATTATCATTGTATATCAAATTCAATGCCAATACGATGATAACAAAAATTATGTTATTTAATATTGCAATGATTATAAAAATGATAATTTACTATATTTGAATTTTTTGAAAATAGCATGATTTAAAATATCTTTATGTATAGGTATATGACACTAATTAACTAACGTGAAAAAGTAATTAAAATTTCAAATAATTGTTTTAAATAATAATTTTATTTAAAATACTTAAATAATAACATTTATTTATAACTATTATAGTTGATCCGTTTTTTATATAATCTCGATCATTTGATACTACTTATTTGTGAATATCAATGCTTTGAATAATAAATTATTGAAAAACTTATTAAAATAATTTTATTTTTAATTTCAACTTTTAAAATTTTGTCCATCTCTAATATAGAAAGTAGAAAATAATAAAAGGAAATAAATTATAAAAATTTTATAGAATTTATAAACAATATTTATATTGTTTTTGAACAACACATTGTTTTACACACAACACGATGATATACTATCTATTCACTATTTCGTAGATGATATAGTATGTCTTTTTATCAGGTAGATGGCATTGTCAATTTTTTTTAATTTTTTCCCCTTCTATAATTGTCAAACTCTATGTATGTGGTCCTTTCTTTAATAATATTGCTAAATTTTATTTTCTTGCGATTTTCCTAATAATACTTTATTATACAGTTGTTTTGTCTTAGTATCTAACGATTCTTAATGAAAAAGTTTGTACGGAAGGATCGTGAACAATTTGTATATATTTATTTCATTTATTGTGTTATTTGAACCATTATATATATAAATATCACTAATTGTTTTAATATTAATTAATGTTTTAATTTTTAATTTATTCAATTTTCATTAATAATAATTATAAATTCGCAATAATTTCACCAACTTTTCATAAAAATTTCACAATTTCATAAAAATTATATATATAAATATTAAAAAGAAACAAAGAGGAATAATAAATTCGAATTTATTATTTATTTATTATAATTTAATATACTATATGATTGATTAAATATAATGAAAATACAAAAAAATGTATTGAAAATATAATAAATAATAATATTGGAAAGTTAAAACTTATTTTCTTAGTTTATTGCACAAATAATATATATCTATTTTTATTATTAATTTTTATTTATATAATTTTATTTTTATTTGTATAAAAACATTTAGAATGATTTTTGATGAAAATATTTAATATGATGTCACAAAATACAATTTACTTAGACACAGAATTACGAAAATTAAAACCAGCAGAATTGTATATACTTTCTCAAATATTAAATATATCAGATTCATGGAAAAAATTAATGGCAATTATACCAAAGGATGATATGTCTAATCTTCCAAAATTTAATTCTGAACATTTCAGGTATAATATTTTGTTCTGTATAATAATTATATATATAATTATATATAATTAGCAAATTTATATTTTCATTTATTATTGCTTGAATTTACAGTATGATTGAACAAGCTGCAAATCATCAAAGAAGTGCAGCAGAAATATTTTTATCAGAATGGGGCACAATGGGTAAAAAAAGACCAACATTAAGTGTTTTATTGAATTTTTTAGTAAAAGCAGAATTATTTAGAGCAGCTGATTATGTAGCTAAAGATTTATTAAATGGTACAATAAAAATTGCAATAAATAACTACATTATTATAATTAAATAAATAACTTTTTCTTTTTTTGATAGTAAAAGTTCCCGAACGACCAAAATATGGACCAGCAACACCTGTAGATATTTCGGAAGAAATGAAATTATTAGAAGAAAAAGAGGAACTTGAAAATCTTAATTTCAATGAATCTTTAATATTTAAATTACCTTCTGAAGATGTTGATAATAAAACAATTAATTCCAATGCAATTAATGACAGTTCTTTGGAAAGAAATATACAATTAACAAAATTGATTTTTTCAAAAGAACAACATAGTAATGAACAATTAGAAAATAAAAAAACATTAAATACACAAATGTTTGATTTAATGAAATTTAGTCTTGAACAAAATGAAGAATGTAGCAAGCAAGAACAAATATTTAAACAAAAAGAAATGTTGTCTCATGAGCTACCTGTGTTTTTAAATGAATTTAAACAATCTGTAGAACAAACGAAATTATATCAAGAAGTATTATCGGAGGAACTTCCAATTTTTGTGAAAAATAGTACAATTGCAATAAATCAAAATTTATCAAATTATGATATAGATGATTCGCTGAATTTGTCTAATTTAAATATTAATAGAAATGAAATAATTACCACTGAATTGCCTCAATGTGTTGTTGAATTTCATGTAAATAATGAATTTAATTCAAATAATAAGAATAATTGAGTTTACAAAAATTACAATTAGTCTATTGAGTAATATTATAAATCATGTTAAATCGCTAAATGATAACAACAACATAATACGAAGATGATAAATATAGATATACTTTTAAAATATAAGAAATAATATATTTTTTAAAGGAACATAATATATATTTTATATATATGTTTAAAAAAAATTTTAATTTAGATAAATAAAATATTTTTTATAAAAATATCATATATATAATTATAAATTAATATATAACTTAATCTACAATATGTACAAATAAATATAATATTTTTTTATGTATAATATAATTTATCTTTATATAAATATATTGAAAATCACATATATTTTTCCATATTAATATGCACACAACATAATAATAATTTATTAAATATATATATTATAAAATATTATATCTGTAATTAAATTCAAAGATGAAAATGCAAAGATATCTTAAAGTATCATATTGTGCAATAATATATGACATGGATTTACTGATATATAAAACTTTCGATACAATAGAAAGATTGATTAAGTCTTATTTAAAATTGATAAGAAATACAGGATTATTTAATAAAAAATGAAAATATGTTTATCCATCACTATTATTACTTTGCTTCATTGTAAAATAAGCACTCTGAAGTTCTTTGAGATTGCTTTCTAATGTTGCAACCTCATCATATCTACAATCAGCTTTAGCTTGCTTAATATAAGCACGTAAATTACTCATTTGCTCAATTATTGGATCCATAGAAGAAGGCATTATAGGAGTAACACCAGAAGGACCCCATCCTTGTGATTGATTTAGTACTATATTCGGCTGTAAAATTGATAAAATTAAACTAAGTATAGAAATTTTAACTTTTTTCTTTTTTTTATGTATTTAGAAAATTAATGTCACCTGATTTTCTTTCACAATTGGTCGAATTTCAAGATTCCACATTTCTTTTTTACGTTGTTCTTTGGATTTTTCTCTTTGTTCTTCTTCCAATTGTCTTTCATATGCAATTCTAGCTTCTAAACGTTTTTGTCGTTCCTTTTGTAACTCTGCATATTTCTCTTTTGAAGGTAATGCTTGCACAGTCAATAATTCTTCTTTTAAAAAAATCACTGCTGATACTCTAACCATGTGATGTAATCGAAGTTCTTGATCTTGTGGAGGGTTTTCCACACATCTCGTTCCGAGTACTGAAATTCTTTTGCTAATTAAATCTATACTCTCGCCTAATTTTGCAATCTTAATTCTTAAAGCTTGTGCATCTTCTAAATTATATGTAGATTCCCCCTCACTGAAAAACATATCTCTTAACTTCGTACGAATAATTTTGAGCTAGGAATAATATAAAATTGTAAGCAAATGTTACAAATATCCTTTTTATAATAATTAAATCACATACTTTAAAGATTCCCACATTTTGTTGTACATTTTTACATGTTGTGAAGCTTCTTCCATATATGCTCTCATTTTTTCGTAAAATTGACATACTATTGGTTTATCAAAATGTTTTGCTTTTTGTTTTTCTCTTGCATCAAGTAGATTTGCACAGTGTGTACAAATTCTAAATTGCTGCTCGCTGCCTGCTGAATCATTAACTAACGATAATACACTATTTAAACTACCACTGGATGGTGACCTGGCTAATTTTGTAAGACCGATTCCCGCGCGTACTATACGTTCCGAAATTGGTCGTTCAGAAGTAGGAGATACTGCTGAATCATCTTGTACAGATACAGGACTTGTCATTTTTCCTGTAAACAAATTAGTATATATTAAAAAATAACATATATTAATGTACAATATATTAAACATTAATATATTAAGAAATATATTTTTTAATATATTTTTAAATAATTTTAAAATTTAAAAACTACCAACTTGCATCTTGTAATGATAGAAATATTGTACAATTATGACACATAACAGCTCCACAAAGTCTACAATGATGTTTTCTTCTTGCAACATGAAAGCTTTTTGCACAAGTAGGGCATAATTTTACATCTTTTTCATCTATCCATGGCACAATAGTGCGTTCATGAACTATTTTAAAAAAAAATTTTATTATTCTTTCTTTATGATAAAAAAAATTAGAATTTTACCTTTTCTATCAACTGGATCAGATGGTAAATTGTTTAATAATTTATCTAGTCTTATAAGAAGTTTATTTGTTTCTGTAGAATATCGCTCCATTCTAGTATTTCTTATTTCTTTAAAATATTTTGTATGTGATGTGATTACACCTGAAAATTTTTAATCTATAATATATTTTTTTAGAAGAATTATTTCTTTTAGTAATAGATTTGTAATTCATTTTGAATTTTCAAAAATTTTTATTAATTTTTTAAAAGTATTTGAATTAATCTATCATTTTCTTCGATTTATTATTAATATAAATTTTTTATTTTTTGAGATAAAAATATTTTAATAATTTTACAATATGAATTAATACCTATTTCTTGAGATCCCCAACTAAATTCTGGACTATACTGTCTAGTAGTTGATGGTATATTATTTGCAAAAGAATCTGATATTTCATCTTTTTTTAGAATTTTCTTCTTAGCTTTGCCAAAAAGATCTAGAAAAATAGAATGCTTTGAACTATTTTATTACATAAGTTGATATTCATGTTTGTAAAATACGTATTTACAAAATATTTGCAATCTTTAATTTTAATAAATTAATAAAATTTTGCAATAATATATATTATTAATTATACATACCTTTAAGCGATTTTAAAATTTCAGGATCATCATTATGAAAATCTTCAAAATGTTTTGTTAATTGATTAGGTGTTTTGAAATCTGTCATACATATTGGACAAATAAATCCTTCTAATACTTCTTCGTTGGTTGCCATTGTAAAATTTAATATATATTATCTTTTTTTATAATTTCTTTCTATTTCATATATTACCATTCATAGAATTGGTAAATCATTTGAAGGCTTTTTTCGAATTGTAGATGGACGTTTTTCTAAGCCGCCATATTAAATACTATCAGCTGATAGAAATGTCATTTTTCTTATGTATTTCAAATTAATAAAAAATACGTATTTTTTTAAATTAATCATTTTATGAATAAAATTAGTTTATTTAAAAATATTGATTAATTATTTATCAATCAAAATTTGATTTCTAGATATTATTTTTTATTATTTAGAAAGTCGATTATTTACTTATTTTTAAAGAAAAATAAAATTATTTAAGATTTTATAAATTTTTTATTCAGTGAACATAATTGTTATAGATATAAAATGTTTTCATTTATCATAAAAATATTTTATAAATATTTTATAAATAATTTATAATAAATAATATAATTAATGACAATAATTTTAATTATTATAATTTTAATTATAATACTTCAATTTATATTTCCACAAAGTTTTTATTCACAAATAAACATTTTATATACATTTAATTATGTAAGTAATGAAAAACTTTTATGATGCTACTGATACTTCAAATAATTTATCTCCTAAAATTTTAAATTCTTCCGAAGCTTCGCAATGTTGTAAAAGATTGTTACTAATTTTTTCTTCTCCATAAAATGCACCAGCAATAGCCCCTGTCATGCTACCAATAGTGTCTGTATCACCACCTAAACTAATCTGAAAAAAAATTTTTTTATAATAATAACTTTTGACTATAAACAATTATTAATATTAATCATAACATATTTCAGATATATAGAGTGGTTCACCAGATATTACCACTTCAATTTTCATTATCATTATTATCCAGTAGTAGCAAAAAATATTTCATTGGAATTTGGTTTCAGGAAAGGTTTCATATTCTGATGTTATTAGTTCTTTTATAAATGGATATGTAGACACATGAAAATTATTAATATTTTTTTTAAATGGGATCATATTTTTTTATTGCATCAGTTGATATAATTTGATGTTCTCTTCAAAAAAAGTATTAACCTACTTATGTCCAAAAATCATTAGTTTTTTTAAGTTAAAAGAAATTTTAACTTAAAGTTTGTAAAATTTATTTGAAAGATAAAAAACAATATTTTATTATTCATTCATTATCTTTCATATGATCAAATTTTATAAATATTAATATTATTTCTTAAAATAATTTATAATAATATATTATACTTACAGCATACTGAATAGCTCTTCTAAAAGGATTTTCTGTCTGTATACCTATGATTGGTTTTTGTGCTCTTAAAAAACAAAATATTGCAGTAGGTACGGAATATAAAGCAGCAACACTATTCCCCAATTTCTGTATGACTTTTTCATCATGTGGACCTTCATTATTTTCTGATATTAATGATTTTATTATAGCTAATTGTATTTTGTATGGTTGTGGTTCTGACAAACCTAAGCTATGAAAAATAAGCATTATAAATAAATAATAATATTAAGAATTGTATTGTATAATCATACCCTTCTTCATCTTTTTCTATTTGGTCCATTTTATTAATCAAATCATCAATAAAATTTATTACATTTAATTCTTCATTAGGGTTTAAATGGAGACTTTGATAAATTGCTGTTGCCTAAAAAATAATAAAAATTAATTTAAAAAAATATATATATATATAATAAATAATAAAATATTTTATAAATAATTACTTGTAAAATAGCACCATCTATTCCAACTTTATGTGTATGAGTAATTTGAGTTACTTTTCTAACTGTATCTAAAAGTTTATCATAATTTTGATATGAAAACAATGCAATAGGTGCAATTCTCATTGCTCCACCATTTCCCCATGAACCTTGACCATTAAATTGTTCCTTGGCTGGACTTTCAATGTCTGTAAATTTGTTACCCCGTAATTTTTGAAATACCTTTAAAAAAATATGAATCTTAAAAAATTAATTTTTTATGTTAAGATCAAATAAATATAATATATTTGACAACATACTGTTACAACACCCATTCCATAGCCTCGATTTGGTTCTTCATAATAACTTTTAACAAATCTTTTTGCAATATCAATAATATCTAATTCTTTTTGTTCAACCAAAGATTTAGCCAAAGAATAAGTCATAGCAGAATCATCTGTAAACTGCATGACAGGTGCTATAAAGT